AGCGTGTACACAAGTTTATGACTTTGTGTTGTACTTACAAGTATATAAAAACTGTTGTCCGACCACGTGTCATAACAGGGACATAATTTGCCGTTTGATACGTGACGTTATACTACGCCACAGCCTGTGCTTTACCCGGTATATGTACACAACATATATTATATTATTATATATACTTGGTGTAACTTGTCAGGGGGGGGGGGCAGCAGTCGCATTCAATTACCCGACGCCTTGTGGGGTTAAGGCTGAGTACCGCTTCTGTCAAATTTTTACCCCCTTACCCTAATCCGGATAACTATTTCTATATATGATTTCATATATATACCTGAGACAACGCGCAACGTCTTTGGAGTTTTCCCGATAAAAACAATTATTTTGGCCTCTCTCTCTCTGTGTCGCTCTATCCTTTCCTCCTATCCCGTTCTTCCCGTTTACACTATACTGGCTGGCAGCGAGTAGGTTTCTGAAGTGATGCCGATGGTTGTTGTACATGCACACATATACATACCGTCGGCTCATTTATAACTGTCCAGGACTCTCTTTTCAACGCTTGTACACTGCACATATACACCCCCGGGCCGGTGGTGGTGGTAGTTGTATAAGGGTGCAAGGGTGCCGGCACTGTCACTCAAATTGTTTTCACTTACCGTACAACATTATTGCCATTGCCTCTTCTTTCCGGGTTCCTGTGTTGTTGTTTTTTTTTTTACCCTCTTAGGGCTCAACCCTTAGCGCTAGACGTTTTTCGCGGTTTTCCATTTACCCGTCGCCCTCGACCGTATTGTTGACGCGAAACGTTCTCCGAAAAACAAATTATATTCGGCATCACTTTTGAAGAGATTGAACGTATGTGCACTTAGGTACTCTTATACACTTACACACTATGGTAGCGTGCACACAATAAAAAACCCACACCGGAACTGTTTACCTACCTGTCCGATGGCCGACCGAAGATGAGTCGGCGTTTAATATGTCTGAAGGGCTTTCAGAAGCCAAAATCGGGGGGCAGGCCGCCGGTAAAAAGTGCAAGTCATCCTATGGCTGCAGAAGGTTACTTATGTACAATGTATACATGTATCTAATAAACATGGCTATGACCAAAATGGCTGTTGGTAGGATATACCCGTTTCAAGTATGCACCGCAGAAGCTGGAGCGGCAAAATACATTACATTACATTTAAAAAAACTTGTTTTAACACCGTAGGTATACCGGATCTATTGCTCGGCGTGAGTGCTATATGTTGTTACAGTGCATGATAATTATTATAACGGTGTTGATCATTGATCATGCTTGCACTCACAGTTATCGAGTATCCGTCCGGTATAATATGGATGCGTTTGGCATTCGGGAATAATACGGGCGTATAATATAAATTAGGGGTTGACTTGATTAGATTGTTTCATCAATCAAAATTAAGCGTACAACCGTTAACAATAACATATTATAATCGTCGGTATGTAGATTCACATTGAACACGATTGTCCGCTTTTCCATATTGGTCTGAGCGCGAACATGTGTAATTATTATTGTTTAACAATTCCAATTTATTATAATAATATAGTCTATAACAACTCACAGTGTTTGACCCGAGTGCCACCAAGTTTGCTAATGGTCTTTTAAACGAATAAACTTTTTCGGCGAACACACGGCCCGGTCAAAAGCGTTATAAATATGTAGCTAATATCAATGTACAATATATTGTATGGACATAAAAGAAATAATTGGAATTATTCAATTAAATTCCAAACAAAAAATTGACTATTTCATTACTTGACCGCTTATAATTAAAACCGACGTGTAATGATGACGACAGTGTTAATGCGTTGTAACGTTTTGGTCTTTGTATATTATTGTACTTGACAGAGCGTTGGCAAATTATTATTAAACGTTGGCCGGGAAAGTATGATGCCACTTAGACGGTTTATGGCTTGTAAAAGAAAACTAGTACGCACACACACAAATGAACGTGCATTAATTATCGTTTGACAATGATCGTTTCGGATTTATAAGACATATAAATTTTGATACTTATTAAAACGTGACGACAAGTGGTATAAAAAAAAAATGTATTTGTTTTTGTCAGTTTAACAACACTGGTGAAATCTATTCTCGGACCGAGATTAACAAATAGTGAAAACTAAATATTATTCATACGACCTTTGTTAAATAAAAATTTTAGATTACTAATAAAGGCAACACAGTTTTTATACAACTATTATCTCATATATCTGAGTCCAGACTTGGCATGTGAAAAGTATTAAGTCGAGTACTCTGGGAACTGGTGTTAGATGACAGTACTTGTTGTGAAGTTAAATTCCTGTTTTGCAAAAGCAAATGATATATTATAATAACCATGGTTTTAGACAATCGATTGAAAACCACTGGCCGTATGCCCCGTTCGACTACTTAGGTGGGTGGGATGGCACGATACCGTGACTAGGTACGGTTTTTTGACCGCTGCGCCCTCGCTCTACTTACAGTATATTACTGGTAAAGTGCTTTTTGAATTTGCTGTCACGTAAAAGAGCGTTTTGGCCTCCGGATGTACAGGGTGGATAATATTATTAATGTTTTAAAATGGTAATTATTTAACGTCCACTACACCCAGTACGGCTCTGTTGATGAATTACACGCGCTACCAGCAGTAGAAATAACACAGTTTCTGTTATCGAATAAAACCCAGCTGGACTGTGGCAAGGCGACGACAAACGGCACAGGACACGTGGTGGTAAAGCAGCGCTAAATACCGTCAGAGGTTATTTCCGTGTATATAGTAAATAACGTTGTGCGTTTTTTAATAAAGAAAAAAAATATAATGCTGAACAAGTATAGTGTGCGCGTCGAAGGATCCAAGTCCTGCTGCCTAGTGTCGGTTCAAGACAGGCAAACGCCTAACCGGGTCTACCCCAGAAAAAAGAAAACCTCAGACGGGGCGCGTCGATGATGCCAGCCGATTTGTACGACCACCGCCGCCGTCGTTTTAAATAGTTTAATATAATAATTATCATTGCGAATGCCACTGTAGGAGTCGTGTACACGCGGTCCGGTTATGACGTTTTGAAAATCACACATCCCGACATAATTAATATACGCCAAGACGTTCTGCTGTCACACCGGCTAGTCGAGGAAGACACGTTGACAAGTCGGCGTCTCGGCGACGACGGCGTGAAAAAATGAAAACAAATTAAAAATAATAACCGCCGCCGTCAATTGGTGACGATACGTGACCGACGAGCGAGTCGGTTGGTGTTAAAAAAACGTACTTAAACATTTTTAAAAATTAATTTTTTTTTTCGAATATGAAAACACACATTAAATAGATATATATTATCATCTCGATAATTGGAGACGGAAAGGGACGGGCCGAGACGAGACGGACGGTGTTTTTTTGGCAACGTCAAGTCAGACGTTTGGTAAACGTCTCGGCGTTAAACAGGGACAGTCTAGTACCGTCTAGTATCCGTATCACACATGTATGTTTATATCCTGTTGTTCGTCACTCGGAATGCGTACAAAACGCACGTCCGCTGATTCCGGTGGGATTAAACGTCTTCGACTGTGCCGGGACTTAAGTCGTGTCGTCTGAATTGGGGGGGGGGGAAGGGGGAGGAATGCAGAATTAACGTGTCAACAGCCAACAGCGATAATCATGGTTGTCGGGTTCCAAGGATGGACGACCGGTAAATTTGCAACCTTCTTGTCTTCCTGCTTGAGCCGAACGCGGTGTTTAAGGCGTTTCGGATAGGCAAACCGGAGTAATGCTTGTGCGCGCACTTATAATAATAATATGATACCTAATTACAACGTCAACTCGTCAGGTCTTATGTGGCCTGTTGCGCTATGAGAATATACGTCTTGATTTGGTCAGGCCGTTTAACCGGTTGTCCTGTTGTTGTGTACAACAATGAAGTCAATGAGCGGGAGTCGTCCGTTTCAATGGTTAACTAGCTCGGGCTATACACCGCTTCAAGCTCATATTATATTGTATATACTACGACAACAATAAGATGATAATTATGCGCTATTGTTTTGTACTACGCGTGAGCACCGAGTTGAATTCCTATACAGAAAGTACAAAATAATATCATAATCGTCGAGAGCATCTATTTTGTGCGTCGCACTAACGTTTTTTGGTGCCTAAACTAACTATAATCCAATGCCGATGGAATGTGGTTAAGTTTAATATAACATCTTAACGCCTGTGAAAAAAAAAACTCTACATAAATACGTAATTAAATACTTTGCAAGCTGTAACTTTACCGAAAAAAGTAATCTTAAAGAAGTTCTAAATTAGTCTTGGTAACCTTTTTGAACTTTAATCATTCATCTTATAATAATATGTAAGACTATCAAACATCTACATCTTAAAACAATGCAATATTTAGCCATTGGTAAAAATTTACAATACCACATGAAATGTATTTAAATAGGCGAAAATTATTTTTTCTATTATTATTAATGTTGTGGATAAGAAACTGGAGTTTTTGTTTTTTTATTGATGTTGAAGGTTTTTTTTTACAATCTACAGAGTACAGTTACCCTAACACAGTGACCCTATAATCAATTTTCATATCAAAAATATGGTCACGCAGATGTTTGAAATAATTGCCGAAATCGAAATCCTTAATAAATATAGATTCGGAGTCCTCTTAAATAATAAATCAATTTCTATCACCAGACACGTATTAATTGAAATAAAAAGATAATATTTTATTTGAATATATCAAAAATAAACAGGTATTGGCAACGTTACCGATCTAAAATTTACAATATATTTTGTAATAACCACCTGAAATGTTGATGAAAATGATTGATATAATATAATATTCTGATAGATTAATTTATTCTTTTAAGCTAAAAGTTAAGTTTTTGTAACGACATAAAAAGATGACTCTTAGTTAACTTGTTTTTTTCAAGTTCAAATTTAGCCATCCTAATGTTATCGTTTGTTATAATTATATTATGATATTAATGTATTGTTTACGTTTGTTTGCTTCAGGTACGGTGAACGCCAACGGCGAAACCAAACGACAGCGGACGTCGTACACGCGTTACCAAACGTTGGAGCTGGAGAAGGAGTTCCACTTCAACCGGTACCTGACCCGGCGGCGGCGGATCGAGATCGCGCACGCCCTGTGCCTGACCGAGCGGCAGATCAAGATATGGTTCCAGAACAGGCGGATGAAGTGGAAAAAGGAACACAAGATGGCCAGCATGAACATGGTGCCGTACCACTATCACATGGCCGCCCAGCCGTACGGCACCCCGTACCCGTTTACGCACCTGACCACCTGAGATTCGTATTATTAATTTAACGGTTCCCGCTCGGGCGGCTTGCGCTTGTCGCCCACCCCGCTGCCGACGCCGCTCGACCGCGACTACAACCGTTAAATTAATAACTTTTTACCGCCCCTCAACCCCCCCCCCCTCCACCACCACGGCAACTATTATATTATTATTATTATGTTATAAAATTGCATCATCCGAGTCTTTTCTTTTTAATATAATATTATATAGCATATTTTTTTTTAAAAATTATCTTCTAAATTTATTTATTCGGCGCGCTTGTTTTACCTACTCGAAAAAAAAAAAAATTATCATCGCTTAAATACCTATTTAGTTTAGCCGTTACACTATATAATAATCTTAAATTGATTTTGTATAAATAAAATATATGTTTCGTACACAAGTTTGTCCGACGACGCAAAACCTATATAGATATATTATTATTATTATTATTATCTAGGAGTTACCCGTTACGATATTTCTAATATTTAAGTATTTATTATTATTATTATATAAAACGTATCGGTTTAAATAGTGTATTTCTATCTTTTATATTTTTTGTTTTTTTTGTCAAGAGTCAACGCTTTTCTGGCAATATTTTCCTTCGACACAAATCACGAATCAGTACAAAAACTCATCATGTTGCATTAGATATTATATAATATGTAAATGTATGTTTAGTAAAAATATTATAGATATTATTATGATTTGCCTACTTTTTTGTCTCGTTGTAAATATTATCAAAGTAGAATTTTTGTATAGATATTATGTACAATGTAAATATTATAATAATATAATTGGCATTTGTACACACGCCTACTAAAAAAAAAAAATTTAAAAAAAAAATCATAAATATATTACACTTGTAATAATTGTATTTTTCTGTAAATGTGTTAACCCAGAGTCTGTGATTTTTCTTTATTTTATTATTATTATTATTATTATGTTTTAGTTTTGTAAGTATGTACACGATATTTAAACGCATCAAAAACAATATAATATCCAGTTGTTTTATTTTATAATTTTTTTTTTTTGTTTTATTGTTCTATTTATTATTATTATTATTATTTTCATTCTCTGCATATTCTCGCGATAATCTTATTTCCCGATTTTCTTATTTTGTTGTTTTTATTATAATTATTATTATTATATCGCGTATCGGCGACTATTTATTATTATTATTTTTAATTTACAATTTTACGTTTTTTTTTTTGTACGCAGATAAGTTTCTCTCAAGTGCAATATCGATTATTATTATTATCTTTTTTTTTGTAAAAATTATATATATATTTCTAATTATATACAAAATATGTGAATTAATATTATATAATATATAATTATATAATAATAATTATAATTAATTAATATTATATAGATGACAAATTATAAATCTCTCGTAGTGTACCTATAAGAAATGATTTTAATAAAAAAAAAATTTTAAACAATTTTTATCGAGTTGTATCGAAATATTGTAATAAATTCATCTTGTTGCTGTCGTTGACGAATCAAGATAATAATAATAATACTATATAGTTGTCATTTGTAAAGAAATTTGCGAACAATTTATTAGACGGTCTAGTCTGAGTTTTATTTTGTTAACACATTATGGATTTATATACAACAAAAACAATAATAATAGCCGATGTTTGTACATAAAGATAATATTATAGTAATATTATAAAAATAGAAAAGTAGGAAATTCGATTATGTACAGAATGTTTTGAAAACCAAAACCGGGAAAAAAAATTAATAGATTATAATAATATATATTCAAGATAAATATTATATAATTTTAAAAAATATATATGAGCCTGTTTTTATGATTATATTTTCTTTTTTAACTATAAACAGACAATATTAATATGTTAACGGTTATTACAGTGTATTTAAATACAATTATCTGAAAGTATCAGCACCTTAATAATAATAAAAAGTATACACATATAGAATATGAAACTCAGTAAAACACCACTTTTTTTAATAGTCACCTAAGCCCTAAGGCAGGAATCGAGTAGTTAGTTTTTTTGCTTAAGTGTTGGATAATTAAATCGTATAAGGCGTTATAATTTTGTTTTAATAACTTTTGATATAGTACGAAATTGACATAAAACATTTGTATACAAAGTACTTACTTTATACATTTTAACTTTATGATAATAAATTATACCTATACTAAGGAAACTTTGAATTTCGTTGTGTTAGAACAATAAAATGTACAATATTATAATATGGTTACATATGTAGGTGTTATTATAGTGCTGGAACTTATAAATATTTGCAAATAATCTTATCTCACTCGACACAGAAAATAGCCTATCCAGCCAGGATAATTTTACTAATTTTTACAGGTAAGTAAAATTAACACAACTCACAAGATATATATATAAATAAAACATTTGTACTTCTGTTTTAAAAAAACTATGTCATCACAAGGAGTTCACTGCTATTTACACTGGTCCTATGATTGTGTGTGTGGGATGGCGTCGTTAAGCCTATCCCCAAAAAAATGGCAATTGATCAAGTCGGTCACTAATGACGTCTTGGTAGAATATTATATTTGTTTGGTGTTTTGAAAATATTTCAAGTAAACCTATAATGTTGGGAAATAGTACTGAAACATTAAAGTAGGTAATAACTAAAATATTTTATTTACTGATAAAACCGTGATGTTCTAAATATATCGATAATTAAAACAAAAAATATATTTTCCAATGTAGGTCCATTACACTATATTCCTCTTGTGTGGGTGGACATTTTTTTTAATATTGTACATGTGCTAGCAACAGTGCGACATTTACCGGGCTCGTGTAACCGACTTTATAGTTAAATATGACCGATGGCGTTTAGTGTCTTAGTTATTTTTTCTTCAATAGTCAAAACCCGTTGCGCATTTTAATACTATCCGCTTGTCGAGTCTTGAGGCGGACTTGAGCGCTGCCAATTTTTCCTCGTTGTAAAAATACTTGACACGATTATTAATTGTTGTCCGGAAAAGCGCCTCGCGCCGTTTGTCAACATTTTCCCGTTCGAAAATTAACTATCCACCACCACCACCACTTGTAGTGGCAAAACGGACGTGTTGCGGGCTGGGGCGAGAAAAAGTCGAGGCGGTAACTGACAACTTTAAATTACATCGGTATATAAGTGACTACGCGGTGCCCCTTCGTCGCACCATAATCCGTTCACAGTGTACAAAAAAGGGGGAAGCACAAGCGTGTACTGTACACTATAAGGATATATATACACTCTTAAACGGTTCACTAATAGAATTGTATTAACATATATTAAATGACGATTTGTCGTTTATTGTGATGGACCTAACTCCAATAAATGAAAAATAGAAAACGCCGAATGAATACTTGTATTGTTTTTCGTACACATTATTTTACAAACAGCTCGTTAAATCAAAATTAAATTATACGGACTATGATTCGCTTTTGCAATAAAATACACATACTATTATGGTATTTATAATTATTGCCATATCATGCCAAATTCGACTTAGGGGACGTTTTTTTTTTTGCAGTTTACACGTTCCGAATTGCGTTATTGTACAACGTTTTAAAGTCTTCGGGTTATGTTATTTTTTTCTCGAATCAAAACCTATTTTTATTTTTACCACAGCCTTTTCTTTCCCCTTCGGGCCCGCCACGGCCATCATTAATCATGCGAGTAACCAGCAGCGTTATCAATCGACGGTTTGATTTCAATGCGGCCGAAACCCTTATACAACAGCAGCTCTCGCGCCGCCACCGATATTATTGAGATCCTTTAGGATTTTTTATTTTTTATTTATTTACCCGAATTCGAGTGCGTACAAGTGGTTAGGGGGTGGGACACGGGAGGGGGGGAGGTCGGCCTTTTTTTCTCAGAGAAAAGGCCTCTGACGGAGGTACACAACGCCGTCGCGCGGTACACTATGGCTTTTACCAGAGTTGTTCGGCTGATTGAAAAACAGTCTCTGGCGCGCCTTTTAACTTTTAAACTCTCTTAGAGTAATGGCTTTTAATTGGAAAACTTCCTGGAGCAGCCGGAGAATTCCCGGGTAAAAAAAACAACAACAACAATCACCGTCACTCCCCCGCACAACCGATAGAGGTTGTTTTTTCTTTGTCCGTGCCCAATGCGCGTTAAGTTTACACCAGTATAATAGTTTGAAAATTCTTACGCAAATTGAAAACTATAATATACCTACTCTCCGACTTACCGGTGTGAGTATATAGTATGACTAATGGTGTTTTTTTTTTTTAGAGTTTATCGTGGGAGGTGGGTCTCACCCGTTGACTCTATAAATCTTATTAGTTCAACGAATCAAACATATTAAGACTATTTTCGTGCAATTTTCATAACTTAGTATGTTGATGAAGTCACGGACGGGGCGACCATTTTTTTTGGGGAGAGTCTGATTTTGGGTTGCTTTTTTTTTATGAGGACTTTGACGAGTTTTTGAAGGGTTTACCCGCTCAAGGCAACGCAGCATTTTCGGTTTCCATGCCAAGATATTGGTTTTCTTCGTTTGTTATTATAATTTGTACAAATGATAGGTATAACTGAAAGTGATACATTTTTTTTTAAATGTATTTGAATAAGAAGTTATACGAATAAAAAATTGTCTTACTGCATTTACTTGTTTTATATATTTTCTAAATGTAGAATATATTATATTTATACAAAATAATATTTTCAAATATTCTAATACTTGAAAAAAACACTTATAAACAACTAATTGAGTAATATATTAAAACAAAATTTTGGAATGACTTCCTGTCGAAAAGTGTTATCTAGACCGTAGACGATCATTTAGATGACCTTTTGTTCAAACGATGGACAACTCTGGCTGCTGGAGGTTTCCTTTAAGATTTTCAGGTGTCTTAACTTTTTTTTTTTATCATTAAGCGTCACCGCTCCACCGCTGTTACCTTGGATACACACATAAATAATATGTATACCTAATTACGTATTATTATTATTAATGTACTGGAAGACACTGGTAAATATTGCGTTACAGCAGACCGAAACGACCTTTGTGTTTCCCAAGACGGCCGTATACCATCCGACCTCGAAATCCAAAAAAAAAAAAAACGATTATACCGATCACGACCGATTATACATCATCTCGTCTTGGCCGCCGGTAGCTGCTGTTGTAGGTATACCTACTACTACTACTACTTACCCTATGTTTTTCTTTTTCCAAACAAAAATAGAGCCCTATTACGTTTCGAATCGCTCGTTAATTGGACGGGGGATGGGGGTGTCGCATAAGCGCGTGAGTATAGGTGTACAGTGATTATTATTTATAAGCAGACGGTTAATTGATTTTTTTCCCCCCGAAAATCGTGTGCAAGTAAACCCATAAGGACCGTGGCCGGCCGAGGAAACCGCTCATTTTCCACTTAATCACGCACGGACTGCGCCGCCTGTCACGCCATCGATCAAATCGTTTACCATGAACGGCGGAATGTGCACGGACATTAACGCGTTTCACGGCTGCTTAACTGAACTTTTTTTGCCCCCCCCCCTACCCCCGGTCACCACACTTAAGTATATTATAGGTACCTACACGTCGTACGCGTTCTCCTCCCGCGGTAATAATATAATATGGTCAACCGAATAGCTGGTATTGTTCGACCCATGACCCCGCCGCACCGCTCTCCGGCCGTGTCTAGGTACACTTGTATGGCGACAAAATACACGCTTTAAAAATTTGTACGCCCTCTCCTCGCCGGCAACGATAATAACATAACGATGACAGTGAAATATGGGCCGAGGCGAATGAGGGGAAGTCTCCGGCAAGTAACAGCAAA